GTTTTCTTTCTTGCTTGAGCTTCTTTTCCATAGTAACTCCAGGGAACTAACCCAAGCGATTCTCATCACTGCTGTTGCCTATAGCCACGCTCTTTGGACAGGGGTGCCACGCGGGCACCCTGGGATCTTGTTAACATGCAGGTTCTGAGCAGCAGGGGTAGGACCTGAGGGTCTGTGGGTGATGTTGACGCTGTGAGTCCAAAGACACAGTTTGGGTAGCAAGGGTTGTTTGTTCCCAATCCTTTTTATTTTTTTGGAGAGGTTTTTGCTATAGGGCACGTGCGCGGGCCAAAAAGAGAGAGACAGAGAGACAGAAAGCGAGAAATCACCCCCTGGGAGGATAGCCATGCTGCAGTCTCTTCTCCTCCATTTTCTTCTTGGGACCTTAGGCACGCGCGCCTGGTGTGAGTTTAAGCCACCAGGTCTGGGACTTGAACTGTGGTCGACTACATGGGAGTCCAGCGACATAGCCATTATACCAACTGCTCCCCCCACCCAATCCTTTTCTTGAGAGAGATTTTTGCTATAGACCATGTGCACTTGCTGGAGAGACTGAGAGACAGAAAACAAGAAATCACACCCCCCTCCTCCACGGAGGATGGCCACACTGCAGTCACTTCTCCATTCTCCTCTCAGGATTTTGGACATGCATGCATATGCACCCAGTGTGAGTTTTAAGCCATGAGGTCCGGGACTCAAACTGCAGTCAACCATGTCAAAATCCAGCAACTTAACCATTATGCCATCTGTTGGTCTCAATTCCCAGTTCTTTTCAGATCATGGTGTTCACAAAAATATCTGCAGGGCACATTACCAGGGCTGCTCTGCTTGCCTCAAACCCCAGATATCTTAGAGCTGCGGGAATCAATCTTCCAGTTCACTTTAACCCCCTCGAGGCACCTGGGGGTAGACCAGGGTGTGGCCATTGAGAGGAGAGAAAATACCCAAATGTGATCGGTTCACATGGGGTGTGTGTGGAGTCTCTTTCTCTCCTGTTATCGCAGGCACCGTCCCCTGCCGTGGCTGAAAGCAGCCCACCCCAGGAGCCTAGAGATGCCCATGCCTTGCCCTCTGACCCAGCTGTGAGTCCTCTGGTTATGGAGAGGGAAGAATGAGGCTCTCTCCCCAGCATTACCTCGGCCATGGTTGCCTTGCGTGCCTGTGCATGACTTTCAGTCTGTGATGATGTACCTGGGCATGCAGAGTACGTGCACACACGCACACACATACACCCACACAGTCATGCACACATGCACACACACAGCCATTTTCCCTAAGACGCATGCATTCTTTTTTTTTTTTTTTTTTTTTTGGAAGATGATTAATCTCTTTGTTTTATTAAATATTTTATAATGTACATTAGTAAAGTGATATAATTTTCTTACATTTTTGTAAAGCTTACTTTTGGGTGTTCTATCAGGTTTTTTTAAATTAATTAATTTACATTCATTCACTGAGCATTGCCACAGCACACAAAATGTGACAATGTGATTTCCCATCCAGAATATACTGCATAATGGCTTAATCATACATGTTATCGTCAATAATTTTCCATTTCTAGTTTCATTTATGTGTGTGTGTGTGTGTGTGTATACATATTTTCCCCCTATTCCTCACCCTCTGCCATTTTCCATCCTCCTCCCATACTATCTCAGGTGTCCAAAGTTGTTTTCCACTCCTTTTATTCCCCATTTTATTGATTCACAAAATTTCTTAAATAATCTAATAATCTA